CCGACCTGTCAACGTTCAGTTTATGGCAAGTGACCTCGGGGTCGATGCCTGGCATTTCGTAAGGCGTCCACGTGAACACCTCAATGTTTGCTCTTAAAAAAGCTTCCAATTCTTTTTCCTCTTCTTCGGCTAAGCCCGAGCCGAGAAGAAAGAAGCGTTCTTCATCCCCTTCCTGGACGAGGATTTTCTTCAATGCTTCTTCACTCTTTTCGGTTGGCTCCTTGCCGACATCTTCTAGGACCTCCACGTCCTCGTCTTAGATCTCTAACTTTTCTGGTTCTCGAATGCTGCAGGTGGATTTCATTGCTGCCATAGAGCAATTTTTTGCCTGTAGCTGATCTCCTCTGACTTCTTTAATCCCATATTCTGTTGGGAACCGCAATAGTTGATGCAAAGTTGAGGGAACAGCCCTCATTGCATGCAACCATGGCCTTCCCAAAATGATGTTGTAAAGGGAGGGTGTGTCAATTACGGTGAACTCTGTTGTTATCTTCCTGGTGCCTGCCTGCACCTCCAAGCTGGTTGTTCCCAATGGCCATGTCAGCATTCCATTGAACCCGACCATTGGGCTATTGGATTGCTCTATGTCGTTTGGATGAAGGCCGAGCTCATTGTAACATCGAACATACATGATGTCACAAGAGCTGCCTTGGTCAATCATGATGCGTTTTACTTGGCACTCCCCAACCTAGAGGGATACTACCAAGGCGTCATTATGCGGATGCTGCACCATCTCAAGGTCAGCTTCCGAAAAGGACACTACTGGTCTTTGGCACTCTTCTGCCCGATATCACTTCTCCCCGACTTGGTAGACATGTTGCAAGTGCTTCACCTTCTGGGTCTCCTCCCTAATTTCGTTCTTGTTGACCTTCGAGTGAATTACATGGACTACCTGAGGTCCTCCTGCCTGAGGTTGTGATGCTGGGGGAGGCGGAGCTGCTGACGCCTGAGGCAATCTTGCCTGTTCTTCCCTTGTTCTGGCCTCATCGACGAGGTCTCTTAGATGGCCTTGCCTCACCAGTTCTTCCAAGTGTGTTTTTTAGGGCTCTACAACCCTGAGTCGTGTGCCCATCTTCATTGTGGTAAGCACAATGTCTGCCAACGTTCCTTCCCATAAACTCTCCTGGTGCCTTCGCTGGTGTTCTGAAATAAGGTTGGTTCCGAATCCGGTCCAGGACTTTGGGAATCGAGATTCGGAACACAGTTGTTACTACCTGTGTGGCCCTCAGTTCTGTTTCTTGTTTGCTTGATCCATTGTTACCTCGGCCTCGCTTCGGCGAGCCGTTTCCTTTCTCTTGTTTTATCTCCTTAGTCCCCGACGTGTCTTCTTCAGCTCTGGCATACTTCTTGATTCTCGCCATGAGCTCTTCCATACTTTTTGGCAATGTCTTTGCCAAAGACTTTCGTGGTAGATAGTTATCTTTCAGGCCGTTCTTGAAAGATACGACCGCCACCTCTCGATTGCATTCGGGTATTCAGTTGAACACCTCATAGTATCTTTTTGCATAGGCCCTAAGGCCTTCATCCTTGCTGATTTTTAAAGCCACCAATGCATCCACCCTTAATGGCTGCAGCTTGTTTGTTACGAACCTGGCCACAAACATCTCGGTCAGGCCTTCCCAAGTCTTCACGCTTCCCTTTGGTAATTTGTGGAACCAATCTGATGTAATCTCCCTGGAAAATGAGGGAAACACTTTGCAGAGTAACGACTCGTTTCCACTATACAATGCCATTGAGTTCAAATAAAGTCCGACATGGAAGTTGGGATCTGACTTACCATCGTATATTTGAAACCTCGGCATACTGAATCTCTTCGATGCCTCAAACCTGTCCAATTCTACCGAGAATGGTGTCCTCGGCTTATCTGGGGAGGTTACCTCGACGTCGGTATTCTGTTGCTTCCTCTTGAGATAATCTCTTAAGTCCTCCTTTGTCCACCCAGGGGCTCGGCTTTCTTCTGCTTTCAGTCTTTTTGGTGCACTACTTTCAGCTTCGTGGTGAGTCCTTTTCAACCCTTCTCCATGAGTTGTGTCGAAGCACAGTGCCTGCTCCTGAACATGCCGATGTCCTTTGGGTTCTGCCTTCTTTACGCGATGCGTTCTCTGTGATTCTTCTCTTATTGACTCTGTTCGTCCGACTTCCTTAGAAGGTCGGTGAGAGTATCTTTCGCTCCCGTTGTGCTGAGGGGCTACGGGGATTGTTTTCTGCCCTCCATTCTGGGCATTGGTCGTTGGAATCAGCGTGTCCTGCAGCGGGAACGGTGGCTGTATGACGTTATTTTGCATTATGAAATTGACGACCGACTGCAAGTCTGCCAATTTGTTTGCCATCTCTTTTACCTCTTCGTCCCTCCGCAGGTACCTATCATTCCATACCTGGAGGTCGTCCTCCTTGCAGTAGCCACTTCGATCTAGTTTCTTTGGTGCGTTGCCAGTCTGGCCGATGTCTTTCACTCCGTGATTCTGGTCACGAGTTTCTGCGTTGCATTCGTCTCCTTCGACATCAAGGTCAATAGGTCTCCCACTCCCAGCAGGAGTGTCGTCCCCAATCTTTTCCTTCTGTCCATTACTGGCCATCTATTCTCCTTTCTTTCCCACAGACAGCGCCAAATTGTGTCGGTGATTTTCCGATCACACTGCCCAACTCAGTAGCCAGCTGGAGAACACTGGCAGAATAGATGACACCTGGCTAACTTGCAACAGAAAGAGAAGATTCCGGCGGTGGTTTATCCACCCGGGGGTACTCCGACGATCAAGTCAGTATATCTCTCAAAGATAATCAATAGTGCAAATCTCACTGTTCAAAATATAAAATTGCGTACCTTAGACCCACGGAGGTGCCTCTCTTTTATAGCTAACTCAATCATTGTCCCAACAAGAGCCTAGCTCTAATGGACTTAGGATTTACTATTAATCTTGGACTCCTAGTAAGATTGGAATAAACTCCTTAAGAGTCTTATCCTTTCCCAACTGTAGTCTTCCCCCTTTCTAGGACTCTTGTGCCTTATCCGATTATCTCGGATTCCAATATCTTCGGAGGTAACCTCGGCCTCGCTGAGATAACCTCGGCGTCATAACCAGGATACGTGGCACCTCAGCTGACACGTCGGCATCACCTTAGCCGCGTGTTGGTACTCAGAAAATATCTCCCCAAAGAAAGAAATTTGTACAATTATTATGAAAAATGAGAGTTTTTGTCACAATGTCAATTGTGGTGAAAATTAGTAAACCTTTGGTGAGAGTTCTCCATCTTGTCAATGGTGATAAGAAGCCAACTATGAGATACTTGTATGAAGCCATGGATAAGGCAAAATTAGCAATTACAGCTAGGCTAAACAATGGGATTTCTTTACATAACCCATATGTTAGATTGATTGATGCTAAATGGGATAAACAACTTCACAGTCCTCTTCATTCCGCTGGTTGCTTTCTTGATCTTGGAATTTTTTTAGTCCTTTTTTAACCAAGCAAAAGGAAGTTACTTGAGATTTGCTCTTGGCTATTATGTCTTTGGTACTAAATGATAATATGCGAGATATAACCATTTACAACTTGAAGAATACAAACAATCAACTGGAAAATTTGGTATGTCCCTTGCTATTTGGCAACACGAAAGACTAAATGTAGGTAAATTTATATATTTTTTAACATGTTATTATATGCAACACATTAAATTCTATTTTATATGCCTAACATATTATTTAATTTTTGGGCAAATTACATATACCCTCTTGAGATTTGGCTAAATTACAAATACCTCCTGAAGTTTGAGAAATTACAAATTCCCTCATGAATGCTATATTTGCATAACAAATTAGAGGATAATTTGTTATGAAATATAAACCTCATAGGACAAATTGTTATGAAAATACAAACTTCAGGGGGCGGGATGTAATTTTCGAAATCTCAAGAGAGTATACAAAAGATTAAATGATCTAGTCTATCTTCGTTACAACTTAAAACTTCAAGAAAGGTACAAGTAGAATTATAAGTTGAAATTTTAAGAATAAATTATTACGAATATGGGCTCATTTGGACTATCAGATCATACATTTTAGGCTCACTTATGAAAATTCAATTTTGCCCACTTCATAGCCAGCCCGTGCGTTCAGTAAGAGATACTCAAGGCATGAGATGAAGAGATAAGAAAAAAAAGGGTCCGCTTGGTGAAATCCTATTAACAAACTCAATAGAACCAAATTTATGGGCTCATTTAGACTACTAGATCATACATTTTGAGTTCACCTATGGAAATTTAATTTTGCGTACTTCATAACCAGCCCAAGCATTAAGTGAGAGATACTCAAGGAATAAGATGAAGAGATAAAGGAAAAGAGGGTCGGTTCTCTTAGCAAAATTCTATTAACAAACCCAATGGACCCAAATGGACCCAAAGTTATGAGCTCAATTGGACTTTCAGATCATACATTCTGGACTCACTTACGAAAATTGGGTGTGTTTGGTTTGTGTTTGTAGAGTAATTTTTGAGATAAAAAATACGAAAAACTTGTTTGGTTTGTCTTTTTTTAGAAATGGTTTTGGAAAATTGTTTTGGAAAATTTTTTTTAAAAAAAGTGATTGATTTGATGTGTATGAGAGAGAGAGAGAGTGATTTTGGAAAGTAGGTAACCAAATAAAATTTTGAGATTTTTTTTGGAAAAATTTGTTTGGTTTGATTACTTTTAAAAATTTGTTTGTAGAGAATTTTTTCCAAAATTTTTTCTGAAAAACAAACCAAACACAATTTTGCCCAATTCATGGCCAATCCAAAGTATTTTGTAAGAGATTCTCAAGACATACGATGAAAAGCTAAGGGATAAGATGGACCTCTTTAGGCCCAAATTATGGGCACATTTGGACTTCCACATCAAACATTCTGGGCTTATGAAAATTTAATTTTGCCCAGTTCATAGCACCAAGGCCCAAGAAAACATAAAAACAAAAAAAGGGCCCTTTAATTTAAGCAGAAAAGTCTCACGGCTGCAATTCTGGCGGGAAGACACAACCATTTCCCGCCAAATCTACCCCTCCAACACTGATCTCGAGTCCCCTCCGCCCCCCAAAAAAACCCTTCAACTGCCAATTCGTGTTCCCGCCAAATCTCTCTCTCTCTCTCTCTCCAGCCATGGCATCCGATTCTTCTCCGGCCAATCTCCATGGTAGTAAGTCTCTCTCTCTCTCTCTCTCTGGTTTATTATGTCTGTATAGATAGATAGAAATTGATTGCTGCATATATTGTCTCATTTGATGTAATTTGAGCTCAAGTTTTGGATGAATCGGACAACAGGACCTTCCTCTCCCGATGATTCGATCTCGAGTCCAATTGGCAACACATTCTCCTCTCCCGGCCACGCCACAGGCCGGAAGCGCGGCCGCCGATCGTCCGCCGCCACACCAACTCCACCCCCTCCCCATCACTCCCGATTCGCCGCCGACGCTGTTACCCCTACGCCCTCCACCTCCCGTCGAAGAGGAAGAAGTGCTTCCATGTCCTCTCCTGCTCCTCCTCCCGCAGCCGCCGCCGCCACCCCTTCTTCTGCCGACGAAGCCCCTCCTTCCTCCGATGGCGACGATGCTGACGATGCCCCCCCTCCGATGTTCGTTTGGGGCACCAACATTAGCGTTCAGGATGTCAATGCCTCTATTTTACGCTTTTTGAGGCATTTTCGTGAAAACCCTTCTCACACTGAGGGAAAGTACATGAGGGCCATTCATCATGTGATTGATGTTGAGGGAGATTCACTCGATGTTGATGCACACAATGTGTTTGATTACGATACTGATTTGTATACCAAAATGGTTAGGTACCCTCTCGAAGTTCTTGCTATTTTTGATATTGTGCTTATGGATATGGTTAGTCGAATCAACCCCTTGTTTGAAAACCACATTCAAGCTCGCATTTTCAATCTCAAGACCTCTACATCCATGAGAAATCTTAACCCTTCTGGTTAGTTACTTCACTTCATCTTGCTTTTGTAGTTGGTCTTCTTTTCTTTTTCTTCATTTTCCCCTCTTCAACAATGTATAATTTTATGTTGGAATTCTTTTGTTAGATATTGAGAAGATGATATGTTTGAAAGGAATGATTATTCGGAGTAGTTCAATTATACCCGAAATCCGAGAAGCAATTTTTAGATGCCTTGTATGTGGATACTATTCTGACCCCATTGTTGTGGATCGAGGTAATTCTCATGATAGTTTGATTATGCATTAATTTGTTCATGTAAGATGTAAATAAATATCTTTGTGGTTTGTTAACCAATTGAGTCTTTCCAGGTCGAATTAATGAGCCTACTGTGTGTGGAAAGCAAGAATGTCTTGCCAAGAATTCCATGACACTTGTGCACAACCGATGCAGGTGATAAACTCATTCATAACTGATGTGGTTTGTAATATTATGAAAGATTATGATTTAGATGTTATGAAATAGAAACTTGGTTATGATTCTTTTTATCCAATAATCTCCCTATTTATTCCTTTTAGTCATCAATTTCTTCAGCATCTACAAAGTTTAACATCAATGTAACTTAAGTATTTGACCTGATAAAAGAATTGTTTTTGCTAATTGGTCTTCCATTTAACTTCCCAGTTACTGGCAATTCAGCTTCTGTATGTTCCCACCACTACAAATAAAGAAAAAGCTACAGTATGCATATAAAATCACTTCTAGTTTGATGACTACCAAGCCTGAACAATGTAACCCTTCCTTTTGAAACCACCTCTGTGTATCTTGGGTGCTCATACCACCTTTATGACTTTCTAGTTTACTAGACTCTCCCTTAAGTCATGAAGTCATCAGATAGACATTTGGGGTTTCTTAATATATGCCTTTGAAAATTATGACTCTAATGTGAATCATTTAACAACCAATTTGGATTGGCTGATATGTGAATTCATTATTGAGTGTTTGACAGTATGCTTCTGGCATGACAAAATCCAGTCCAATATGGTTTAGTGTTTTAAACCTGGATAACTTTTGTTGAGGTTAAATTTTTTTGGGGGTTTTAAAACATCTGTACACTTTCATATGATTTCATGGCTAAATTTGACTTCATCAATGGCTATGTTTTATCCCGTTTCGGGGAATTGAGGTATTGAGACTATTTGTTTAAAGTTTCATATAAGGTTGATAGTGAAAAATAATTCCATCCACATTGTTGTAGAGAAATATGGTTACAGCACCCAAAAAATTGAGGAGGAACAAAAACAACAAAATTCAATATAAAATGCTTAAAAAACTAGGATTGTTAATATAGAGTACATCCATGGACTGAAATTGTTTACGCTAACTTGACTCTGTAGATCTGTTCATTTCTTTTGTTGCAAGCTTCGTAGTTAGTTGAGAATGTTTCCCAAATAGCCAATCCTTCAGTAACAATATGGTTTAAACATAGTTTGGGATAATTATAAATTGTTATTAATGTGTGTCCAACTCCAAAAACAGGTTTGCTGATAAACAGATTGTTAGACTACAAGAGACACCAGATGAGATCCCTGAGGGAGGGACACCACACACAGTGAGCTTGTTGACACATGACAAGCTGGTTGATGCTGGGAAGCCAGGTGACAGAGTTGAGGTGAGGTCTTGCATTGCCAGCAAGAAATTGTACTTTATTTTTCCTATGATGTTTTTCTTCTTTTTTCCCACTTTATTTTATTTATTTTCTTTTAATATACCGGAATAATGTGTTCCCTTATTCATTAGGTCACTGGGATTTATAGGGCCATGAGTGTCAGGGTCGGTCCAACACAGAGAACAGTGAAATCTTTATTCAAGGCATGTATATTGTCTTCCTCAGTCATTTTGAAGTTGTGTAATGATTTTATTGTCTGAAATTAATCACAATTCCTTTTGATTGCAGACTTACATAGACTGTCTTCATTTAAGAAAAACGGACAAGTCAAAAATGCAGAAAGAGGATGCTATGGAAATTGAAAATGGCTCAAGTAGAAATGAAGAAGACAACCCTGTTGACTATGAGGACAAGGTATTTTTTTTCCCTCTGCAAAACTATTTGCTGTATTTTCTACTTTATTCACTTATTTGTTCCACACTGCAGGTGGAGAAACTGAGAGAGCTGTCAAGGTTGCCTGATATATATGAGAGGCTAACTAGGTCTTTGGCACCAAACATATGGGAGCTCGAGGATGTGAAAAAAGGCCTTCTATGCCAGGTAATCTAATTATTTGGTTTAGTAGGGCCCTCATTTCAAATTTCACCCCTTGTGTTGATATTCAATTTAAATGGCTTGGATATAGCTTTTCGGTGGGAATGCATTGAAGTTGACCTCTGGGGCTAGCTTTCGTGGTGACATCAACATTCTCCTTGTTGGTGACCCTGGAACCAGCAAATCTCAGCTGCTCCAATATATACACAAGCTATCTCCTCGTGGCATTTACACCAGTGGAAGAGGAAGCTCTGCTGTTGGATTGACTGCTTATGTTACTAAAGATCCCGAGAGTGGAGAGACTGTATGATAAAATCGCTATGTGATCTTTTTATTTTCTTCTGCTCTGGTATCTCATTGAAAATATGAGAAACTTAGACTGTATTTGTGGAATACTTTTTAGGTTTTGGAGAGTGGAGCCCTGGTTCTGAGTGATAGAGGCATTTGCTGTATTGACGAATTTGACAAAATGTCTGACAGTGCAAGGAGCATGTTACATGAGGTAAAATTGTTTTGTTCTTGTTTTTTTTCTAAAATTATTGTGAAGTGGCGTTTATTATTGCATTTTACTTTGAAGAGTCATCAAATAGCATAGACCATACCACAGTTTGCCTATTATGTGAGAAGTTCCATTGAAATGCATTTGTGTGCTACAAAATATCTGCCTTAAATTTGCACTTAAATTCAGCTTCTCAATTGTTAGTGTAATAATTCATTAACTTATTCAGGTGATGGAACAACAAACTGTTTCAATAGCAAAAGCAGGTATAATTGCTTCACTAAATGCTAGAACATCAGTATTGGCTTGTGCAAATCCAAGTGGCTCACGATACAATCCCCGCTTGTCAGTAATTGACAATATACACCTTCCTCCTACATTGCTGTCCAGGTATGAAGATACAGTTCTTATACTATGTATCAGTTCATTCGCTTGATTAAAACTTGTGAAGCTTATGATTTTGAGATTGAACATTTAGTTATCCAAAAAAAAAAAAAGGAAAGAAGTGTGCAATGTTCTTCCTTAACCTAAACACTTCAGACTTAAACTAGGAATACTCTCTGATAATTAAAGCTTGTCCAGGTTTGATTTGATTTACTTAATTCTCGACAAGGCTGATGAACAGACAGACAGGCGCCTTGCAAAACATATTGTTGCATTACACTTCGAGAATCCTGAGGTCTGAAAAAAAACATAGCAATTTCTCTCCCTACCCACCAAAATATGTGATTTTAACCCTTCAAGTTTTCATGTCTATACTTGTAGACTTCACAAGAGGATGCCTTGGACCTTCCGACATTAACTGCATATGTGAGTTATGCCAGAAATCATATACACCCACAGTTATCTGATGAAGCTGCAGAACAGTTGACACGAGGTTATGTTGAGATGAGAAGAAGAGGAAACTTCCCAGGCAGTAGCAAAAAGGTACAAGGATCCTTTGTGATTATTTATCTTATAATAGCATCACCCATATATTTGGAGGAAACTGGAATGTGACCCAACTTTCTTGCACTAGCATCACAAAATGCAGTTTTATCCCAAATCAATTTTATTCTTCGACCTTTTTTGTGTTGTGTGTATGGAATGCTAGTTAGTTCTGGTCATTACCCTTTATTTTATTGACCTTTTCATTATGCTTTTCTCAAGTATTGTTCCATGAAGCACTTAGATTCTGAACTGCCATTGACTTTATGCTTCTTACTTGCCCTGATTTTTATCAACAGGTGATAACAGCAACGCCTAGGCAAATTGAGAGTCTGATACGTCTCAGTGAAGCATTGGCTCGGATTCGCTTCTCAGAATTGGTTGGTAAAACTTGTATGGTGTTTTAGTAAATATAGAATGGTTTGTTGTGATTGGACTTGTTAGATCACTGTCCTATTTACATGCAGGTGGAGAAGAAAGATGTGATAGAGGCTTTTCGTCTTCTGGAAGTTGCATTGCAACAGTCTGCAACAGATCACTCCACTGGTAAATGCTCAACTGCACCATTCATGCTTTCGTTATTCAGTTTTAGCCATTCATTCACTATCTAAGTTGTTTTTGCCAATTACGATCCTAGTAATTGGCAGATCTTCTGCATATTTCCTGAAGGAGCATAGGACATTACGATTTGCTGGAGATCAATTCTTGATAGAATTTTTTTATTTTAGCTTATTACTTTTTTCAAGCCTAAGTGATAACAGTTATGACAAGAATTTATTTGATATAATGCCATGTACTGCTTTGGTTTGGAGTAAAATTTTCTTTAGAAGCTGGGTGGAAGATGTTTTCTCCACTTTTGCCTAGCAAGATAATGGAGAAAGGCTTCCCCCAATTGAAGGATATGGACTTATTTTATGCTCCTTGAGTGATTTTATTTATTTATCTTTCTTGTTTTATTTTACGGGCATAGAGCTGTGATACATGTGCCTCTTGTTTAGTTGTTGCTTTACTCAAGAAATTATGCCATACTTCAGTCATATATCATCTCTCATTTAGCAGTCCCTTGTACTTAACATGTTCTTTACTTGAACAAATAGTATCTTTATCTTGAGGTTTTCTTGACTAGGAACCATTGATATGGATCTCATTACAACTGGGGTCTCTGCAAGTGAAAGGATGAGAAGGGAAAATCTGTTATCCGCAACTCGCAACATAATTATGGAGAAGATGCAGATTGGAGGGTCCTCTACTCGGTTCTTGGAGGTCTATTAAGTTTACTGAATTTTAGATCCTCTTTTATTCATTTAATGGACACCACCATCTGAAACCTTGCTTCTGCTGACATTATGTTGCAGTTACTGGAAGAGTTGAAGAAGCAAAGTTCCGGTGCTGAAGTCCACCTTAGTGATGTAAGTATTCTCTCTCTCTCTCTCTGCGCATTTGTGTCCGCTATCTGCATATGATTGTACTGATGGGTTCAGTTTGTATATTTTTACCAGCTACGAAATGCACTTTCTACCCTTGCAAGTGAGGGATTTGTTACTGTTCATAGTGACAGCGTAAAAAGAATATGATGAAGACAGCAGATGATCAGAGTGGGGGCGAGTTGACATAATTGATTTTATTGCAAAGTTCACAATTTACGGTAGACCTGTTATGAGAGCAGTGAAAGAAGCTATTGCTGCTGTGCACAAGTTTTAATTTGCAGCAGAATGAGAAAGTTCCACCTTGGGGCCTAAGACAAATGTTATCAAGCCTCAGAATTACATGCAACTTGTAAATGACTCTTTGCTGCGATTTGTTTAGTAGTTGAATATGGTTAATGTACTGGTTATTCTTGATGGTTGAGTAGAGAGTTCTGTCTGTTAATCTCCTGGAATCTCAATTTTTTCCCCATTTGATTTGAAGTTGATGGATCATGTGGCTTTAATCCTCGAAGACACCTTTGATCCAATAGTCAACCACAAGGCTTATTCATGGTTGTTCATTGCAACTTTGTTAACGAAGGTTTCAATGTCACCCAATGAGTTTTGATGAGAAATTCTCATCCTGAAAAGCAAGTTCCAAGATTTTCACAAAAAAAATAAAAAAATATTAAAGCAAAAAAAAACATGGTTTCATAGCTTTTGATGAAAAGATGAAAACTTGGTATCTCAAACGCTGCCCAAATTGTTGTATTTCTAGGCAGTGGTCAGTCTTGCTTCAGTGGCATTTCAGGAGCTGCTTTGAGAGCGGTGCTTGCAAGTACTGCCCCATTGTGCTCAAGCGGGCTGGGCTCTTCTAAGTTGGTTATTTTATGGGGTACTTACAAATAAGTCCTATATACAGTTAAAAATCTATCTAATCTCAAAATAAAATACTTGTACCAATTAGTTATACATATTTTTAATTGTTATCAAACTCTTTTTATTTTCATTTTTATCATTTTAAAAATGTTATTACATCCAACGACTTTTGTCAGACTTATTGAAGACTCGTCGGAATATTTAACATCACCAAAAAGTTACCGAAGCATCATCGGAAGTTCGCCTGAGTGTTTTGAGTATTGTCGGAAGTTCGCCGGGGTGTTCTGAACGTCACTGGAAAATGTCAAAGAATATTATCGGAGACTCACTGGAATATTCAGAATATTATCGGAAAAAAAGAAGAATAAATGGAGAAATTATAGTTAAAAAAAACATAACAACAAACAACTAAGCAAATAATCTACAATATTGATCAAATTGAAAACTAAGCTTTGAAACTGTAAAATATTACAGTTTCAAAGCATTATTCTGTTAATCTGGAAAACATATTATGAAACTGTAAAATTTTACAGTTTTAAAGAATATTATGAAACTGTAAAATTTTATAGTTTTAAAGCATGATTCATTTCAGCCCCCAAAAAAGCTGAAACTGTAAAATTTTACAGTTTTTACCGCTTGTAACTAAAATTTAAAAGCAACTTATTCAGAACTTGAAACTTTTCTCTATTAAAACAGAAAAATGGATGCGTGTAATAGAGAAAATGTAGAAAAATTGAGAAATCGAAGAAAATGATAGATATGGAAAGAATATTGTACTCCGGCAACTATTTTTGGTTTAGATCTAGTTGGACCTCATGTAGATCTACTTATCTTCTTCGCCGTTGGTGAGGATGAAGTAACGAGTTGATGTCGGTAGTTGGTGGTTGCCGGTGAATCCCAATCAATGGTGGTCATCGGTCACTGGTGACTATATATTAGAAAGAGAACGTTGGACATGATAAAGAGAAGGAGAGGAAAACGCAGAAAAAAGAGAGAGAAAAACGTAAATAATGCGAGAAAACACACAGAGAGAGAGAGGAAAAGTGTAGGAATTTTAGGTCTACTCAAAAAATTGTTAGATTAAATAGTGTAGACATATTTCAAACACGACCTATGGGTAATTTTTCCTTATTTTATCTTCTTTTGAAGTTATATTTCATTATTTAAAAACATGAATACTAAAGAATTACTTGTGTTAACTTTTGGGTATGCCCTAGTGTTACTTGTAATCAATTTGTCCTAAGACTAATGATAATTAGATGTCCAACTTGATTCCCTAACAAAACCTAAATCATTCATGGGTGGGTTTCAATTGGCAAACAATGGATTGAAATGGAGTTATTGTTATGGTATATATGATCAATACCAAACTCCAAGACTTGAGCAAACAGTCAAACACACATCGAATCTAGAACGGAGTGTAAAAGAATAGAAAATCAAACTCACCAGAGCAACAAAAGAGATTTATGTGATTTACCCAAATCTCGGGTTACGTCTATGGAGTTATTGCAGATTTACTAAGATTGATATGAAAGGAGTTACAAAAGTCTCTTACACTCAATCTCACTAACTCTCTCTACAATGATCTATGTCACTCACTCTCACTATTGTGTATCTTTCTCTAAGATTACAAAACTAATGAATAAAAGATATAGTTTAAGGAAATCAACCCCAAACCTAAATTAGTAAGGAAATCAATAACCTTTTTTGGCTGAATAGAAAATCAAAAACCTAAACTAACAAGGAAATAGTTTAAAGTTCAAATCTAACAAAATGCTAATTTCCTTATTTCTTTGTCCTAATTTGATTAGGTTTAGTCTTGTTTCAGGCTTCATCAACAACAATCTCCTAGGAGATTGTTCAAGATATGAACGACCTTCACCCCATAACTCTATAGAACACCGCAATGACTCAAACTATCAACGTCACGTGTTGATGCCAATTAAAGCTATAGATAGCTTCAGTTTCTCAACTGTAACCACTATGGTTAACATATCTACAGGATTTTCACTTGTGTGGATCTTTTCCAAGTTGAACTTGCCATCTTTCAAGAGTGAATGAACAAAATGGTACTTTATATCAATATTCATTGTTCTTGAATGAAACTCGGAATTCTTCGTAACATGTATTACACTTTGGCTATCACTGTACAACTTGTAATCATCAAACTTCTTTCCCAATTCAGTCAAGAAACTTGTTAACCATACCATCTCCTTGCAAGCTTCTATAGTTAAGTGGTTAAGATAATTACAATTTTTTGCAACTAAGAGATCCAACTTATTGCAACACTGTCAAGAGTAAACACATACACTATTGTGCTATTTCTACTATCAATGTCACTTGCTAGGTCAAAATCAACATTCCCAAGCAAGCTGATTTCCATGCCGCCATGTTAGAGAGCCATATCACTCGTACCTCTGAGATACCTGAATACCCACTTGACAGCTTTTTAATGCTCTTTCCCGAGATTGTTCATGAATTTGCTAACTGTGGGCATCGTGCATTTTTTGAGTCTAAGGCCCATTTCCCACACAAATGTTGTACCAACTTGCTTTAAACAACAAAGAGTCGCGACTCAATTTTTTTAAGGGGAATTAAAAAACTTTTAACAATGAAAAGTAAGCTAAGGACCTGATTCGTCATAAGCAAAGAATTCTAGGTTCGGGAGCTTAGGCACAAAAGGTGAAGGTCATTGAATGATAGCACCTCATTTTTCACAATCCAAAGATTGGCCTCTACTAATTTTCTATTTTATGATTTTAGTAGTTATTTATTCACAAACTTCATATTAGACCTCAAACCTTAACTAACCTAAAACTATATGATTTGGAAAATGAATTTCACCTAACTTAGATTCTATCAATAAAATCATATCCTTTCCATAAATAAAGATTTTTTGCCAAAAATATATTTTTTGCCAAAAATAGATTTTTTTTTCGAGGACATGACCATATTCATGAACTAAGTCAAGCAATAATCATAAAAAACACACAAAATACTCAATTTTGCATAGAAAAGCATAGAAACTTGCATTATTTAAAAGACAATGCAAATAATACATATGCCAAGAGGATGGAGGAAACTTACCTGGATGCCCACTTTTAGCGTCTTACATGCATTATGTGAATTAAATATGTTCTAATCATGCAACTAATGCATACAAAATGCAACCTAAGACTGGTTTAAGGGTTTTAACATGATTTAATGCACAAAAAGACAAATAACACATAAAATAATGCAAAACTAATATGCATGCAGAAATAGAGACTATAACATTCTAAGCATACTGTTCTAAGAAAATTAAAGAAAACATGCGAAATAAAGGAAAAAAGTAGACAAAACTAACACCATACATGATGGAATGCTAAACTAAAACCCTAGCATAAATGAATACTGAAAAATAAAGCAAGCTAGGTACTGAAATAAAAAAGAAGAAGAGGGTTTACTTGATGGTTTCAATGAACTGAAGAGAACTCAAAGAAAAATGCAAGAAAACTTGGGTTTTCTTGTTTGCAAGTCTCCCTTAAGCAAAGGTTCTGAGTTAGGGTCCAAGTTCTTCAAGCTTTGAATATTTTTCCATTTCTTAGAGTTACTTAGGGTGGGTTATTTCGGAGTCAAAGCTGGAGGGGAGAAGAAGAGGGGTGTTTGGCTCTTAAATTCACTCAAGAAGCTCTTAAGTTGTTATCCTTTGTAAAGGAGGGGAGGGCCTCTTTTTAGAAGTAGAGGGGAAGGTTCTGGAACCCTTCTAGGGTTTCATCGCTTCTTCCTTGCCGCCTCCCTCCATAAATGCACTAAGATTGAGTTTTCAAAACTGGCTCTACTACGCTTGGATGTGCGCACGCACAACTCATGTGTGCATGCACGACTTGCCTTAGTACTCGTGCCATCCATGCATGCACAAGTGTTGGGTCCCATGCTCTTGGCTTACTTGTGTCCCAAGTAAGCCCAAATTGTGTTCTGATCAATGTTTTTGATAAAACCAGCCACTAATTCTAAAAAATGTCTTTGACCAGAGTATAATCGGGCTTTCCTAACTTTCTCGAGTGTAAAAAGTTGATTTTTGGCTAAAAACGAGTCTAGGGGTAACATGGTTACTTTTGTAAAAAGTCAATTTTTGTCTAAAATAGGTTTATATAGTAACTCCAAATAACCTTAATTTTTTCCAAAGATGAAGTAATTACAATTTCATCATTGCAAGACTTCCAAGCGCCTGAAGTCTTAGGGTCAGTCAAAATGGGATGCCTAGACTAATAACTCTCACTACATGGTCAATGTCTAATCTTACGTAGACCATGACATACATCAAGCTACCAACGACTAATGCATATGATGCCTTTGTTATGTATTCTTGTTCTTCATGTGTAGCTACATTGTGTTCTTTCATCAATTTGAAATAGCTTGCTAATGGAGTGCCTATGGGCTTCTTGAGTACTTTTTCAATGCACTCGACCTACGATAGTTTCAATTTTTTGTTCTTCATGTCCCTGCTAATTTGCATCCCTACAATTTGTTTTGTCGCACCCAAATCTTTCATTGTGAACTCTTTGGACAACTCTTATTTCAGTTTTAAAATATTATCCATGCTTGAACCTAC